GGGCCAATATGCTGAAAGATGCCTTGAGCAGTATTTTCAGGGCCAAAAAATGAGAATCTCAGTTGTATCAGAATTTAGCTGAAGAAAGTTAACAGACATCCAGTCCTTTATCGCAGCTAAACAGTTGTGGAGAGTGTTGAGGTTGCTAAGATCATCTGGCTTTACTGAAAAATATAGCTGAGTATCATCGGCATAACAATGATAGGATATACAACCAAAACGACTAATTATCTGGCCCAAGGGAAGCATATACAATGAGAAAAGAATGGGACCAAGGACTGAGCCCTGGGGCACCCCATATAACAGCGGAGTGGGCGAGGACACATAGTTACCAATGGAGACAGAAAAACATCTATTTGACAAATATGACCTGAACTATTGTAGGGCTTTCCCTGAGATACCAACATATGTATTCAGTCGGCTGATGAGGATGGAGTGATCAATGGTGTCAAAAGCAGTGCTCAAGTCCAGTAAGACCAAGATGGAGAGTTCCCCTTCATCAGCCTGCATAAGGATGTCATTCATGACTCGTAACAGAGCAGTTTCAGTACTGTGGTTTTGACGAAAACCAGATTGAAATTTATCAAACATATTATTTCCTTCAACAACTTGGAGAAGCTGCTAAGCAACCAGTTTTTCCAGTATTTTGGAAATGAAAGGTAATTTTGAGATGGGTCTGAAATTGTTCAAAACGATTGGATCAAGGCCGGGTTTTTTTTAGGAGTGGCTGGACACTGGCTGTCTTAAACTGATCAGGGACAGAACCAGAGGTGAGGGACATGTTTATAATAGTGAGTACAGCAGGGCCAATGACAGGAAGGACCTCTAAAAAGAATTTGGGGGGTAAGATATCCAGATTGCAGGAAGAGAGGTGCAGATGAGAAACTGTCTCTATAAGGTTTTGCATGGTAATGGGGGTAAAATGTGTTAGTAAATTTGGAACTCTACCAGGTGGATCAAAGGTGGTGGATGGGAGCACAATGGTGGATCTAATTCTATTGATCTTGTTGACAAAAAATGATAAATGCAATTCACATTCTTCAATTGAGGTGGCAGAGATAGTAGCGGGAGCAGGTTGAACAAGCTGATTGATTGTGCAAAACAAAGCTTGGGGATTATATTTATTAGCGGTAATTAAGTCTGAGAAATAAACTGATCTTGCGTCCTTGATTTTTTGATTGAGTAAAGTTAAAAGTTCTTTCATGTACTGTAAGTGAACATTGAGTTTTGTCTTTTTCCATCTGCGCTCAGCCCTCCTGCATTCTTGCTTACAGCTATGGATATCATCATTTATCCATGGTGATGATCTGGTGGCTGCTACTGACCTGGTTGTAAAAGGTGCGATGGCATCCAATGCAAAGGAACACAGATTATTGAAATTATTGACCAGATCATTAATGTTAGAGGGTTGGATATGGTCATTATATAAATCAGAAAAAATAGATGAGAAATTTGAGGCAGACTGGTTATTAAAAATGTGAGAACATATTGTTCGCATCTGACTTGGAGCAGTTGCCTGGGTGTAGGAGTCAAATAGAATACATTTGTGATTGGAGACAAGATCAATCAGTGAGAGGGAGTTAATAGTCAGGCCAAGAGTAAAAACAAGGTCAAGGGTGTGGCCTCGGTCATGTGTTGGACCAGAAACATGCTGCACCAGATTGAATGAATCAGTAATGTTTAGGAATTCAGTAGCAAAATGGTTGGATGTATCATCAACATGGATATTAAAATCCCCTACAAGAATAATTCTATCATGATTGAGAACAACTGATGATAGAAATTCAGAGAACTCTGTCAAAAAGCTGTTGTTTGGTTTGGGGGGATGGTAGATTGAGATACAGCAGATAGGGTTTTGACAGTTGATTATGAACATCAGCATCTCGAAACTCTGAAAATTGTCAGCAGTGATATGTTTACAATTAAAAAGGTTGCTGTAGGTGACCACAAGGCCACCACCACGGCCACTGGACCTCGGGGAGTTAAAATAACTGTATTCGGGAGGGCAGAGTTCAATTAGATGGCAGCAGTCCCCAGTCTTTAGCCATGTTTCTGTCAGAATCAGAAAATCCAAATTATGCGATGTGAACAAATCATTCAGGATAAAGGTTTTGTTTGACAGAGACCTAGCACTGAATAGAGCAAACTTAGCTGGAGTGATGGATTGCACAGACTGCTTATGATTATAGGTAATATGGATCAAGTTACAACTGTTAGCTCTAGTTGTGTGAGCTGGGAGATATTTCTTGGGCCTAAAGTTTGTGATGACGGGAATCAGTGAGACCGGGTCAGTAGATGGGCTACTGTTAGGTGTTCAAAATGCAGGCAAGCATTTAATATTCCTGTTCAGAATAGCTCTCTCCAGGATTTACACAGTATGTAGTATTTACAGTCACACGATTCTCACACTTAAGCGCACCGATTTTAATATGATGGAAGCATGTGATAATAGGCTGACTAGGGAGGTGAAAAGGTGAAGGAGGTGCTAAAGGAGGCCAGCAGGGGGGGTACTGCTGGCTACAGTAGCAACAGATAAAACACGAGAGGGATGCTCTGAGGAGGGGGTGTGGTGAGTAAACAGTCAGTCACGTGGAGATGACTGAACAGCGTGCTGTATGTTAGCGGCTAGCATTCGTGAGCCCAGTAAGTTTGGGTGGATGCCGTCTCTCTGGAAAAGAGACTGGCGGTTCCAGAACAGGTTGAAATTATCAATGAATTCTACATTTTGCGCTCTGCATGCGGACAACAACCACGTTTGAAGACTGAACAGTGCAACATGGTGATCTTTGTAGACAAGGACCTGCTGCCTATGTACTGTAGATATAAACAGCTAATTCTAAGATAAAGGTAACACAACAGTTCTTATTATCTGGTGATTATACAACCTGATTATCAGGTGACTATACAAGCTTTCGATTCACTTCTATGTCCCAGCCCTCACGAGTCATGATCTATGGACTGAATGACTGAAAGAATGAGGTTGCGGATACAAGCGGCTAAAATGAGTGTCCTCTGAAGGGTGGCTGGGCTCAGCCTTCAAGATAGGGTAAAGAGTATGTGACAGGGTCAGTTCATAGGATGTTGCATGTTGTGTGCTTTCTGTGTTTTAGTTACATTTATGAATTACATGTTGTGTTACTTCGTTTATTTGCATGTTGTGTTACTTTGTTTATTTTACTGTGTTCATTATGTTTATGAAATGTTGTATGTTACCTTGTTTGCAGTTTTTTGATTATTTCAATTAGAGTTTATGTTGAACTGCATGCAGAGTTTTCATTTCCAAACTGACACTGAACTGCACAGGGACTTGCCCCCGGCAGCAATCAGCGCAACGAGCCACAGGTGGTGGCGAGCGCAGGTGACATTCCTTTTTAAGCAGCAAGAAAGCAGCGTGGAAAAAGAGAAAGAAGGCAGAGGACCTCAGCGAAGGGCCGGACGGTGAGAGGAGACCGCCACCACCACAGGAGAACCACCGCACGCCTGAAGCGCAGCCTGTGTCCGTTTGGCCTTGCAACTCCAGCTTGGGTGAATAGCGGGACGCTGTTCCCCAGGCAAAACGTGAGTGTTGTTTTGTTTGCACGTGTTGAGCGGCGGACACAGAGAAGGCAGGCTGCAGGGCCAGGCAGGTGTGGATCGGAGGAATATTGGTGCTGGTGTGTTGGCGGGACCGGAGGGTGGACAGCAGACAAAGGGAAGTCATCGGCTGCAGTTGAGGGGAAGCACGATGCACCCCTCTTGCAGCTAAGTACCCTTTCTGCCTATTTTAAACCATTTCAATCAGGATTTCCCTTCTTTAGTTGTTGAACAATTTTAGTTGACTAGCCTACTTATCCCGGGATTTTCTCTCTCTTATGTGTCTCCAACCGACGAGTGACTAATTGCCTGTCGCCACCTTCAGGTCTGGGGTCTGCCACCTTCGGGTTAGAGTGGGACCAGTACACAGGACGGTTGGACTGATGGGAGAGACTTTCAGCTGGGGTTTTATTTTACTTTTTCACTTTTTTATAATAAATCTTGTATTTAACTTTTATTTGGATTTGTGTTTTTTTTTAACTCTGTTCAACCCTGATTGTAAATAAAAACCTGTGTTGCCTTTTTAAAATTAGAGGCTCTTTTAACCTAGGTGGCATTGTCGATTTTATAACTTTTTATCTAAATTTAAAGCTCCTTCAACCTCGCCACAAGTACACACATCTGAAGGGAGTAGAGCTGCTGCTCCAAATTGAAAGGGGTCAGCTGAGGTGGTTCGGGCATCTAATCAGGAATTCCCCTGTGCGACTCCCGTTAGAGTGGTTCCACACACCACTACCACTGGTGGGAGGCTCCAGGGCAGACCTAGGACTTGCTGGAGGGATTATATATCTCATCTGACCTGGGAACGCTTTGGGATCCCCCAGGAGGAGCTAGAAAGCGTTGCTGGGGAGAGGGATGTCTGGAATAGTTTGTTCAGCCTGCTGCCCCCCGTGACCCGTCTTCAGATAAGCGGTTAAAAATGGATGGATATACATTGAAGACAACATATTTACCAACATACTCCCTATAGGAGTCTGAATTTGAATATATGGTTACATAACAGACAATTATTTAGTGAATACTTGGGTATGTGTTGCGCATTACTCAGAATGGAATGTTGACAAGCATGCATATTGAGGCTTAGTCAGCAGGAGAAAAAGCATTTCTTTCTATACTAATTGTTACCACTTTAGGTAAATGAAGCCATGCCAGCTATTTACCTTAATTTAGCCGTGTGAGTAAAATCATGTCTACATTCTTAGGTTTTGGTCAGATTAACTATAACCAGTCAAATGTTTTTGGCATCTTTGGGTCAGGCTAAAGAATGGACACAGTCCAAGTGTTGGTTTTACATTGTACTACAAATATTGTTCTCAAGTTAATCAGAGTTCTGTATTTACACAGGTCAGAGCACAAGGAGTAAAGTCCTAGATGGCACTTGCATTTAAGTCATTAATTGACTGCACCATATTGGATCTATTTCTTACCTTTGTCCGTACTGAAAAATTTTGACACAGTTAAGACTGATGCTCCACTGTCTTTTGAAAATTTGTGTAGCTCATCCGTTGGTATTTCTATGCTGTTGAGTCTCCACTTTGCTTCCCACTCGGTACCAAAATTAAGATTCTCTGGTGGTGGGCCACATCTCACAGTTACTGGTTTACGAAAAACTACTGGATCTGGGTTAAACCTTAAGGACTCCTGGCCTTAAGGAAAACAGAAACACAAGTCAGAAAATTTGTTTGGCATATCAGACATTCCTGATATGACAATACTTACTGTATGAGACAATTATAAAGATCAAAGCAAACTGTGAATCAAAATATTTCAAAAATGTTTACAACTGTCTTACTGATAAATCGCACTGGGTATTTTTTTGACAGCTCTCTAAATACCCCTGCTTTTACGGCTGGAATTTCCAATTCTTGAAAAGAAGTTGCTGTTACAGTATAGTCACAGATGGTGCTTCCACTCCTGTAATGCAGAATTGAATCCCAATTATATTCGAATCACAAGCAGGTGAAATGTCATCTTTATAGGACCATATTATCTCTGCTCTGGCAACCGCCATTAACCAGTCCATCCAGAATTTCACAGGCTGTTTGTATGCCTCTGGGCCAGTGATAGCTGTGGCTGGACGTATTATATTTTCAGGTTGTCCTTCAGTCTGTTTGTCCTTCCATTTGTACGCATGCACATCCGTCTCTATGTATGTCTGTCCGTCTGTCTGTCTGTCCATCTCTCCATCTCTCCCAACCTTGTGAAGATGATATCTCAAAAATGGCTCAAGGGAGTTTCTTCAAATTTGGCACAAATGTCTACTTGGACTCAAGGATAAAGTGATTAGTTTTGGTGGTCAACTTCAAGGTCACTGTGACCTTGTATTTCTCATTCTCATGAACATGATAACTTAAGAACAGCCACAGGGAATTTCTTTAAATTTGGCACAAACATGCACTAGGACTCACTGATGAACTGATTAGATTTTGTTGTTCAAAGGTCAAGGTCATTGTGACCTTGTCTGTTTCATTTTTGTAAATGCGATATCTCAAGGTCACTGAAAGGGAATTTCTTAAAATTTGCCTATGCACTATGCTAATATAGTATCCTATGACCCTGAAAACAACCAAACTGTAAATAGAAAAAAAAAATTCATTTAAGATGGTGGGTAACATTAAAAGAATTAACTTACCGGAACTGATTTATCTTCACTGTTTTAAAAGTTGAGATGAACTCCTGGCTTTTATTTCTAATCTGTTTAAGACAGTGACACAGCCTACTTGTTATCAGTTCTACAATTGAATCAGGATCAAATGTCACACATTCATTACATCAACATTGTGACAAACCTGTATGAAAGCGACATAAGAAACAATGAGACTTACAGCGTTTAAAGTGTTGCGGTAGAGGCTGTGGTTAGGGTCATTGAATGAATCATCGAAAGATATGTCCATGGTAAATGAGAGCCTTCTCTCTGCACAGAAACAGTTGGTTGTTATCACAGAGTAGCTTTTTCAGGAGATACATGTCTTTCAATTCTCTTCATTTTATGTGTCATACCCTCTGTTGCTGTTGTTGTTGTGAATATTGGCGTTGTTGTTGTTGTGAATATTGGCGTTGTTGTTGTTGTTGTGAATATTGGCGTTGTTGTTGTTGTGATCACTGGCGTTGTTGTTGTTGTGATCACTGGCGTTGTTGTTGTGGTTGTTGTGATCACTGGCGTTGTTGTCGTTGTTGTAGTTGTATTCACTGTAGAAAAAGAATAAAAATTTTCAGTACTGTATAAATGCTATTTTAGATCAATTAATACTTTTAAAATTTTCCACTGAGGGTCTTCAGCTACTACAGACTCTCAGACTGTTGAATTTTATCCATGCAAAACAAAGCAACATATGTTGCCATATGGGGATGGACATTGAGCAACATCTGTCAAGCAAAATTGGAGATTAATTAACACACCACATCTTTCTGCATAGAGAGAACATTATATCTTCAATTATAATCAACATCAAATCACTTTAAAAGTGGCCTTATGTTAACCTAAACCATGTTTACATAAACATGTCAGGTAGCCTATAGTCCATTATTACCTTTTTGCAGATACCATTGCTTTTATTTGAACAGCTAAACTAGCACTGCTTACCTCTGACTGGTTCACAGAACTCTCCATCTGAAGGAAGTCCATTGATGCAGCTACAGGTCGGACTGGTGACATTAGTGCACGCACCGTAGATGTCACACTTGTCACGTGACCAAGCAAACTGCTCCTCACACTCACACTGCAGTCCTCCAGTGGAGTTGGGAGAGCACCCTTTAAAAAGACAGAACAGTATACAAATCAGACACTGTCTGCTAAGAAAGCATTAAATCGGCCACACAAATGACAAAAGAAAACAAATAAACAACAAAGGTTCTTACATGTGGTGAAGTTTAAATCTATTATTGTCAAAGATTGACTGATTATGTAGGGCAATGGGAAATTTCTTAATAGATGAGTGAAATTTGATGGCACACTGGAGACTGGGATGCGCAAGTCCAGGACTAAATCAATGTCCACCGGATCTGTAGAGGAGAAAAGAAGAAAATCCATCACATAAGTCTGTTACTATTATACACACCAATATTCACACACTTTTCATTGTGTGCAATCATCATGACATGAATTATGTTGATCTAAGTGTGCACTGTTTATCAAACATTTCAGCACATCTTGTTGCTTGAATTGGGGCGGCACGTTGGTGTGGTGGTTAGCACTCTTGCCTCACAGCAAGAGGGTTGCTGGTTCGATCCCGGGCGTGGAAGCCCTTCTGTGCAGAGTTTGCATGTTCTCCCCGTGTCAGTGTGGGTTTTCTCCGGGCACTCCGGCTTCCTCCCACAGTCCAAAGACATGCAGGGGACTAGGTTAATTGATAACTCTAAATTGTCCGTAGGTGTGAATGTGAGTGTGAATGGTTGTCTGTCTCTATGTGTCAGCCCTGCGATAGTCTGGCGCCCTGTCCAGGATGTACCCTGCCTCTCGCCCAATGTCAGCTGGGATAACCTCCAGCCCCCCCGCGACCCTCATGAGGATGAAGTGGTTAGAAGATGAATGAATGAATATTGCTTGAATTGAGACTTTACATGTCAATGCAAGATGCAGTGAAAGATCTGTAATGGTACAACAGATAATCCAAGAGTGATGCAGTTATCTTGATTTACAGTGCCAGTGCCAATCCTCAGAAACACACAAACACACAGACCTTAAGTCTCTACATTGCATGTGTTATACCATTTGTTGGTGTTGGTGATGGTGATGGTGATGGTGTTGGTGTTGGTGTTGGTGATGGTGATGGTGATGGTGATGGTGATGGTGTTGGTGATGGTGTTGGTGATGGTGATGGTGATGGTGATGGTGATGGTGTTGGTGATGGTGTTGGTGATGTTGTCTCTGTAAAAATGAAGAATAAAGACAGCATGCACTTTTAGTAACATTATAATTCTTTCTATTTTAAACATCTGTATTTTGGGGACATGAAGCAGAACAGTGGTCATCTTTCAAATAACAATTTTCATTATGTCCAGTCCTCAGTGATGACTGGACATAAGTATTTATGTTGTCTCTTGTCTTGAGAGCTTACTTACTCTTTGTAAGCTGTATGAGCTCACAACCTCACATTTTGGAATATGTGAACCATGGAATATTCAAGAAGCTGCTTTTGTACACACATTTGTTCTCAACTATATACCTGCAAATGTCTTCAATAGAAACCTGATAGAGGCAATATTTAACACTACAACTTGCACTATCCATGCAAAACAAAGCAACAAAAGTTTCCATACCAGGAGTCGGGGTTGGACATTGAGCGACCTCTGTGGATCAAAATTGGAGATAAAATTAACACACCACGTTGTTTTGTGTGAGGAAAACATCATACATTCAATAATTATCAACATTAGATTGCTTTAGAAGTGAAGTTTAACTACATAGATGCTGCTAGGTCTAGAGTTGGTTGTTTGAGTGCAGACAATACAAAAGCAGTGGAGAAGTAAAGAATGCATGCAACAGATTAGCTCATGACAACAAATGTTGTTTGAACAGACAGTTTTACTCTTAAAATACAAATATTTACAACGTAGAAAAGATAAACTAATCCTTTTTTGGTATCAAACCTATTGATGCAAGGATGAATCTTCAAAATGAAAATGTAGTATCGAGAGTCTCGGTATTGTGATATTGATCCGTTGCTGCCCCCACCCTCTGGAATTCCCTCCCAAAACTCATTCGTGACTGCACTGACCTCCCATCATTCAAATCACTACTCAAAACTCACCTGTTCCGTTCTGCTTTTAATGTTTAGCTATTTTTATTCATTTACTTATTTATTTGTTTTTTCACTCCCATTGCTATTCCTCTTTGTCTTGATGTCTTTGCTGAAAATTGTTTTTTTGATGTGTTTGAACCATCTCTGTAAAGTGACTTTGAGAACTTTGAAAAGCGCTTTCTAAATAAAATGTGTAATTATTATTATTATTATTGATCTGCCCACCCTTAACGCTTGGTCAGTGCCCCTGAACTTTAAACCATGATGCACTCGGTATCCTCCTGTGTCAGGTTTGGACGTCCAGGGACAGCATGTCAATTTATGCTTTTTACATGCATTGTATAGTTTAAAAACAAACTTCCCCTCACAAAGGAAATGGACAGTTTCTGCCCATTAAATGCATGCACTCTGTTCTGAAAAAAAAAAAAAAAAAAACTTAGAACATATGTAAAAAATCAAACAAAAAACAATCTGTTTTTAGGTTTACTATCTTGAGTTAAGGCACGTGATTAGGTTTCGAGAAAAACAGCATGGTGTAACTTAAAATAAGTATGTTTCTTACTAATATAAGATGAGATTTATTTTGTTTCAGTGTTGTTCTGAATGTTGTTTTGTTTTGGGTATTAGTTGAATATTTCATGATTTAGTTAATGGCTCATTATTTGATAAATACATTATTTACATTTGTTGGAATGAGGAACTATATACAGTACAGGCCAAAAGTTTGGACACACCTTCTCATTCAATGCGTTTTCTTTGTTTTCATGACTATTTACATTGTAGATTCTCACTGAAGGCATCAAAACTATGAATGAACACATGTGGAGTTATGTACTTAACAAAAAAAGGTGAAATAACTGAAAACATGTTTTATATTCTAGTTTCTTCAAAATAGCCACCCTTTGCTCTGATTACTGCTTTGCACACTCTTGGCATTCTCTCCATGAGCTTCAAGAGGTAGTCACCTGAAATGGTTTTCCAACAGTCTTGAAGGAGTTCCCAGAGGTGTTTAGCACTTGTTGGCCCCTTTGCCTTCACTCTGCGGTCCAGCTCACCCCAAACCATCTCGATTGGGTTCAGGTCCGGTGACTGTGGAGGCCAGGTCATCTGCCGCAGCACTCCATCACTCTCCTTCTTGGTCAAATAGCCCTTACACAGCCTGGAGGTGTGTTTGGGGTCATTGTCCTGTTGAAAAATAAATGATCGTCCAACTAAACGCAAACCGGATGGGATGGCATGTCGCTGCAGGATGCTGTGGTAGCCATGCTGGTTCAGTGTGCCTTCAATTTTGAATAAATCCCCAACAGTGTCACCAGCAAAACACCCCCACACCATCACACCTCCTCCTCCATGCTTCACAGTGGGAACCAGGCATGTGGAATCCATCCGTTCACCTTTTCTGCGTCTCACAAAGACACGGCGGTTGGAACCAAAGATCTCAAATTTGGACTCATCAGACCAAAGCACAGATTTCCACTGGTCTAATGTCCATTCCTTGTGTTTCTTGGCCCAAACAAATCTCTTCTGCTTGTTGCCTCTCCTTAGCAGTGGTTTCCTAGCAGCTATTTGACCATGAAGGCCTGATTGGCGCAGTCTCCTCTTAACAGTTGTTCTAGAGATGGGTCTGCTGCTAGAACTCTGTGTGGCATTCATCTGGTCTCTGATCTGAGCTGCTGTTAACTTGCGATTTCTGAGGCTGGTGACTCGGATGAACTTATCCTCAGAAGCAGAGGTGACTCTTGGTCTTCCTTTCCTGGGTCGGTCCTCATGTGTGCCAGTTTCGTTGTAGCGCTTGATGGTTTTTGCGACTCCACTTGGGGACACATTTAAAGTTTTTGCAATTTTCCGGACTGACTGACCTTCATTTCTTAAAGTAATGATGGCCACTCGTTTTTCTTTAGTTAGCTGATTGGTTCTTGCCATAATATGAATTTTAACAGTTGTCCAATAGGGCTGTCGGCTGTGTATTAACCTGACTTCTGCACAACACAACTGATGGTCCCAACCCCATTGATAAAGCAAGAAATTCCACTAATTAACCCTGATAAGGCACACCTGTGAAGTGGAAACCATTTCAGGTGACTACCTCTTGAAGCTCATGGAGAGAATGCCAAGAGTGTGCAAAGCAGTAATCAGAGCAAAGGGTGGCTATTTTGAAGAAACTAGAATATAAAACATGTTTTCAGTTATTTCACCTTTTTTTGTTAAGTACATAACTCCACATGTGTTCATTCATAGTTTTGATGCCTTCAGTGAGAATCTACAATGTAAATAGTCATGAAAATAAAGAAAACGCAGTGAATGAGAAGGTGTGTCCAAACTTTTGGCCTGTACTGTATATACGTATAAGCTGCTTTGTAGTGTTTGTTTACATTGGGCGGAGTGATATGTGTCAATGAATAGTCAGTTGTCCTACTTTTCTAAACGGACATGAAAAGTATTCACATGTTTTCCTCAGAAGAAGTTGTAGCTGTGCTGTTATTACCCACGCTACCCTATCTACAGTATTATACAATTAATGCTAACTCAACACCAGCATTACACTAACATTAAGTAACATCACAGCATACATCACCAGTACAATATGCTACAAATACGAGCACACTACACTGTTAAAATTACTCAACCAAATTCTGGCTTCACATGTGAAACAAACAGCAGTCTCCAAAGTGAAAGTCCAGTGTTTGTTTAGCCCACCAGCCTCCCCTCTCACCTGCCCTATGTGCACTTTCTTGCTCTTACAGCCCGTTCTCATTCTGAAGTTGTCAAGTACCTTCACTCTGTCAGTGATTTTGATGTCAGATACTGATGCCAAAAGCCACTTTGCGGTGGTATGATATGCAGCTGGGTGGCTGGACTGCACCTGTTGTGTGTGTATGATACACCGCTGGACAGCGTCAGGTTGAAACGCTGCTGTTAACAATGTAAGTCCCTACAGGGCAGGCGGGAGGGGTGGTGGATGGGTCAAACAAAGCCCAGACTTTCACCTGGAAGCCCTGTGTTTGCTTCCCGTGTGAATGTAGTGCCAAACCATGATGCTTTATTCTAAACCTAACCATGTGTTTTTGTTTATGGCTGGTTATGGCATTTCAGAACTTCAACAGCAGATGGCAGATGTAGGAGGATACCTAGCATTTAATATGTAGACATGAAAGTCCAGTGACAAAGTGGCAATATGTGACGACATGTGATGAGAGCGTGTGATGAGAACGTGATGTCTCGTTATAATGAATGATGGTCAAATGAAGCCTCATGAAGCATTTTCTTTATTTTCTGAGCCTACTAGATGGTTTAAAGAGAGAGGCTCAAAGAATGGCAATTCAGTGTGCTTTCAACCTTTTGTTGAACAAAAAGCGCCATCTAGTGGGCGCAAAAAATAAAGAAATTGCTTCATGAGGCTTCATTTGACAATCATCAACGAGCATCAAAAAGTGCAGCTGCCCTGTTCATCTCATACCACTGCTAAAGGGTGCGTCTGCCCATTAGTATCTGATGCCAGGGGACACTGACCAAGCATCTGTATTTGATGAGCTTGAAGAGACCAGGCTTTTATTTGTTAACTTTTTGCAGATAGCTTCAGTTTTACTGGAACTGTTAAACTGGCACTGCTTACTTGTGATTGGTTCACAGAACCCTCCATCTGAAGGAAGTCCATTGATGCAGCTACAGGTCGGACTGGTGACATTAGTGCACGCACCGTAGATGTCACATTTGTCACATGACCAAGCAAACTGCTCCTCACACTCACACTGCAGTCCTCCAGTGGAGTTGGGAGAGCACCCTTTAAAAAGACAGAACAGTATACAAATCAGACACTGTCTGCTAAGAAAGCATTAAATCAGCCACACAAATGACAAAAGAAAACAAATAAACAACAAAGGTTCTTACATGTGGTGAAGTTTAAATCTATTATTGTTAAAGATTGACTGATTATGTAGGGCAATGGGAAATTTCCCACTCTGTCCCTGAATAGATGAATGAAATTTGATGGCACACTGGAGACTG